AAGGAAGGAAGGAAGGAAGGAAGGAAGGATGGAAGGAAGGAAGAAAAAAGACATGGAAGAAGGAAGCCTGTTTGCCCTCATTCTCACCAGTAAGTTTTCTGTCCCATTACTGGGGCATTCCTTCCTGGTATTACCCTGTACTTCTTCCAGATTCCAATGTAGACAGACTGAACACTAACAGCTCTCTAGGAATTCCCCAGCACCCTAGAGCAGATTGAGACTACAGAGTATCCAGTCTTACAGACTGAATGATGACCAGATTCTTGGTCTTTTTATCAAGCCATGTTAAACTACCCAGACTAAAGCCTGTCAGCTACTCTAATGAATTATATATGTATGGCTGGCCTGATCCTCCTGCCTCCTCATCCTGTGTGCTGGGATTAAAGGTGTGTGCCACCATACCCAGCCATTGAGAATACTCTACATAGTGACTTCAGGACAGTTAGGGCTATGTAGAGAGACCCTGTCTAAACAAACAAACACAAAAAAATAAATAGCCCGTATGGTAGCAGGTTAATAAGATGTTACAGCTTGCCTGAGTTTGCAGTCAGACTTTGAACCTCAGAGTTGGAATTTGAGCCAGAGTTGGCAGCTAGATTATTACCTCAAAGCCAAAGTTCTGTCCTCAGAAGGTGGGGGCTTCTCTGGTTGTTTTGAAATTGGCTTTTGAAAGAGACACCCAGGGAGAAGGAAGGCTATTTTGTTTGACCAGCTATATTAGTTAGGGCAGCCTCATGTTCTTGTCCTAATACTGGCCTTCATACTAAATTATGAATGTTAGCAATCTACGAGAAATTATATTAATTTCTGTAATCATAAATTTCCACCCAGGCAAATAAACACTGTAATGGATCACTGAAAGTCCCAACATTTTATTTCCTTTATTTTGTTTGTTTGTATTTGAGATGGGTTTCTCTGTGTAGCTCTGGCTGTCCTGGAACTCATCTGTAAACTGGGTGCCCACTTGCAGAGATCCACTTGCCTCTCTGTCTGCCAGGTGCTGGGATTAAAGGTGTGCTACCACACTCGGCTTTACATATCAGGCTTATTTTAAGACAAACAGAAGCCAAGAGACTTTACCACTGAAAACATCTACTGGGATAAGTGCTAAGACTGAAGCCATGCACCATCACCCTCAGGCTTGACTTGTGTTCTTAATTGCTGTACCATCTCTCCAGCTCCTGTATGGGGGGATTTTTGAGACAAAACCACTGGAGTAGTGGGACTAAAGGCATCCACCACTACCGCCCAGCTAAAGCATTTTTTTAAGTCAAGTTGTATCATCTACTCAAAGTAAGCCTTTGAGTCATCTCTGAAGCCCCTACCTTCTGGGACAGAACTTTGGCGTTGAGGTAACAACCTAGCTGCCAACTCCGGCAGCTAGGTATGTGCCACCATACCTTGACCTGTGGCCAAGTCCAGGACTGAGTGGCCACTACTATATAGTGAATATTAAAATTTTCCAAATTGGACTAAGATGAGAGTTTACATGATAATTAACCTAATTGTTAGAATAAAGTATCCAAGTGATGCCTTTTTTTTTTTTTAAATTTTGTGTATGTAAGCATTGCAGGTGTGAGCATGTGTGGAGGCCATTGCAGGTATGACTATGTGTATTGTCAGGAGACTCTTTTTTAAATAGAATCACTCATTGAAGCTATGCTGACAGGCTAACAAGTGCCAGGAATCTGCTTGTCTCTACTTCCCCACTTAAAACTGGGGTTACAGGCGCCCCACCACCATACCCAGAGTGTGTGTATGTATATGTATTCTAATGTGAGTGCTAGAGATATAGGTGTTAGGTCTGTTGTGCTTGTGTAGCAACCAATTTGCTGAAACATATTTCCAGTTCTGGGTTTGTTTCAACGCATGGCCCCATCATGTAGCCCTGACTCCTCTGGGACTCAGACTAAGACCATGCTAGCAGGGATCTATCTGCCTGCCTCTCCCTTAAAGGTATATACTACCATACATGATGAGCACTCATGTGCATGTGCATTTTGTTATTATTGTTTTGTTTTTCACTTTTAAAAAAATGTTTAGTGTCTGGGGAGATGACTCAAGCATGTATACCCCTCTGAAGACCCTGAGCTCAGTCGCCCATTTGGATGTAAATCAGTATTTTTAAAACTTGTTTATATATGTGCACACTTGTCTTGCATTTGGTAAAGAGGAAAATGTATCCATTAGACAGGGAAGCTGAGGCCTCAGCAGCCTGCAGGAGAAGGGGCTGAGTCATTGAGCACTGAGAGCAAGACTATTGGACATTTACAAGGTTAAGTGATCTTGAGATGAGATCTGTGAGAAATTACTTATTAATTCCTGAAATCACAAATGGTCTGCTACTACTACTACTACTACTACAATTTCTCTTAGCTTTGTGTTGAAGCGTGGGCAGTGTCTCCATCTGGTGGATTTCAGTGTTAACTACTGTGTTCATGTTGATTGTGGAAGCCATGTAGGAAAAGATTACTTCTGCTAACTCTTGAACTTGGCTCAGGAACTTTGCACAGCACCAGCCAAGGCCTCTGGGTCACAGTGTTACATGCTTTGATCCAGGGAGAGTTTCTGTGCCCAAGGCCACATACCGAGGGCACGACATTGGTAGTTGTTATGAGGTTTGGGAAGGAGAACCGATTGACAAGTTTTAGAAGAGATAGTAGACTATGTCATTTAATAAAAGATTTGTTTGGGGGTTTTCTTTTGTTTTCATGGTACTAAGAATGGATTCCAGAGTCTTGAACATGACAGGTAGGCTCTCTGAGGTGGACTTACATTCCAGCTGCCTCTATTACTCTGAAGTGTCTTAAGCTGTACTTAGAATCCCCTAACCAAACTTCAGGAGTGCTGATGTCTCTTGATCATAGTGAACTCTGATGAGGTGCCTGCTGTGGTGTGGAGTATGCTTAGAAATCTAAACAGAAAGATGTTTTGGTTTTTTTGGGGGGGGTATTGCTTTTTAAGGTGTGTGTATGTCTTAGTTACTATTCTATTATTTTGAGGGGACATCATGACCAAGGCAACTCTTTTGGTAGGAGTAAGGAAGGTTTTGAGACAGGGTTTCTCTGTGTAACAGCTCTGGTTGTCCTGGAACTCACTTTTTGACCAGGATGTTCTTGAACTCACAGAGATCTGCCTGACTCTGCCTCCCAAGTGCTCCATCACACCTGGCCCAAGGCAACTCTTTTAAAAGAAAGTATTTGACTGGGGACTTGCTTACAGTTTTAGAGGATTAATCCATGATGATCTTGGTGCAGAAGTACAGGCATGACACAGGAACAGTAGTTTGGAGTTTTACATCCTGATCCATAGGCAGGAGGCAGAAAGAGAAAGACACTGAGCATAATAAGCTCTTTTAAAACCTCAAAACCCACACCTCCAACAAGGCCATGTCTCCTAATCCCTCCCAACAGTTCCACTAACTGGAGACCAAGCATTCAAACATGAACATATGGGGCCATTCTCATTCAAACCACCACAGTGTGTTATGTGCCATATGTGTGTAGGCATGTTCAAAACCCAGAAGAGGAGTTAGATCTACTGGAGTTGGTTGTAAGCTGCCTGGTGTGAGTGCTAGAAACCAAACTTGGGTCCTATGAGAGACCAGCCAGTTCTATTAACTACTGAGTTATCTCTACAGTCCCTAAAGAGAAAGTTTTGATACAATTGGCACATGATTGTTAATGTTTCTAGTATTGATGCTGATAAGTTGGTGGCTGAGATTTTTTCTATCAGTTCAGTTTACATTTTTTACTTTTTTTTAAAGTATTAGACTCCTTTAAAATTGTTCAGTAAGGGTAAGTAAGAAATACATTTTAAGCTTAAGTGAAATAAACTGATGACTTTATGGGGGCACATGCCTATAATTCTAGCACAAGAGGTTGAGGTAAGAGGATCAGGAGTTCAAGACTAGATTGGGCAAGATAAAAACCTTATATCAAAAAAAAAAAAAGACAAAACAAGCTTTAACACACCTTTAATCCCAGCACTCGGGAGGCAGAGTTGCCTTTCCATGCCAATCTTATAGAGGAAAACATTTAATTGGGGCTGGCTTATAATTTCAGGGGTTTAGTTTGTATTGTCATGGTGGGAAGCATGGTGGCATGCTGGTAGACATGGTGCTGGAGAAGGAGCTGAGAGTTCTACATCCAGATGGGCAGGCAGCAAAAGGACAGTGCCACACTGGGCCTTGCTTGAGCACCTGAGACCTCAAAGCCTACCTCCTAATAACACACCTACTACAATTAAGCCACACCTACTCCCACCAAGGCCACACCTCCAATAGTGTAAGGCCCTATGAGCCTATGGGGCCATTTTCACTCAAACACAGGGCATTTTCTGGCTTCTGTAAACACCTGAACTCACCTGTACTGCCTTCCCCACATAATACAGTGAAAAATAAATCTTTGGGGGAAAAGAACAACAGAACCAAAACAATATAAAACTGTTAATGTTAGGAATTGGTTTCAGATATAGTTTTTTTCTTAATTAATTTACTTATTAAAACTCCTGATGATCTGCCACTACTTCCCAAGGGCTGGAATTACAGGTCTATGTCACTACACTAAGCTATTTATGGTGGTTTGAATAAGAATTGACCCCCTTGTGTGGGCAGATGTTTCTTTCCCTCATCTGCCTGTTCCCAAATAACTGACATGGAGACTTAATGTTAATTATAAATGCTTGGCCAATAGCTCAGGGTTGTTACTAGCTAACTCTTACATTTAAATTAACCCATGTTTCTAATCTATGCTTTGCCACATGGTACCTTTTTTCAGTATAGCATGCCTATCTCCCTACATCTGCTGTTGACTCCCAACTCCGCCTTTCTCCTTCCAAGTATTCTCAGTTTGGCTCTCACACCTAACCTTATTCTGATCAGCTGTTGTCCAGTCAGCTTGTTTATTAAACCAATCACAGCAACAGATTTTCAGTATACAAAGGGATTATTCCACAGCACCATAGACTCATATTTGAATGCTTATTCACTAGGGAGTGCAGCTGTTTAAAAGAATTTGAAGGATTGGCAGATGTGGCCTTGTTGGAGTGTGTTCCTGGTGGAAGTTTCAAAAGCTCACACCTCCCAAGTCACTGGAGATGAGGATGTAGCTCTCAACTGCTGCTCCAGTGCCAGGAGCGCCTCCATGAACCTGCCATGAGGATAATGGACTAACTCTCTGAAATGTTAAGCAAGCTCACAAATAAACTTTCTAAGAGTCATCTTGGTCATGGTATTTCTTCACATCAATAGAACAGTGACTAACACTATTTTTTATTTTATTTTTTTGTTTTGTTGAGACAGGGTCTCACTATATAGCTCTGGCTGTCCTGGAACTCATTATATAGACCAGGCTAGCCTCAAACTCAGAGATCTGCCTGCCTCTGCCTCCTGGTTGCTGGGATAAAGGCATGAACCACCATGCCCAGACTTTTGTTTTGTTTTGTTTTGTTTTTAAAGACAGGGTTTCTCTGTAGCTTTTGGTAACTGTACTGGAACTCCCTCTTTAGACTAGGCTGGCATTGAACTCACAGAGATCTGCCTCAGACTTAAAAACTCTTCTAGTTCCTAGGTCTGAGGTACTTAAGGGCAGACAAATTGATAGCTGGCCAACCTTCAAGACAGAAGTTACCCAGGGAGTTCTTTGGGCTTTATTGTCTACTTTAATATGTTAGATAGTATCTCTCACTAAACCTGGAGCTCATTGATTGGCTCTGACAGGCTGGTCAGTGGAATTTAAAAAACCTTGTATCAGCCATGCACTCAGATGCCTGCTTATGTGATAACACTAAGCTGTCTTCACAACACTGTATATGTATATGTATTTAATTTATTTGTTTTTATTTTATGCATAAAGGTGTTTTGCCTACATGTATGTCTGTGTACCATATGCATGCAGTGCCTATGAAAGCCAGAAGATGTGAATGGATTCCCTGAAATGGGATTTTGGATGGTTGTGATTATCTAGAGACAATCCCACTACTTCATCTGCCATGTATATCTCCCTCCCCCTTTGGTTTTCAAGACAGGATTTCTCTGTAGCTTTGGAGACTGTCCTGGAACTCATTCTGTAGACCAGGCTAGCCTTGAACTCACAAAGATCTACCTGCCTCTGCCTCCCAAGTGCTGGGATTAAAGGCATGCAACACCACCACCTGGCTCTGCCACGTTATCTTATGCCATGTAGAATACAGTGTGTGGTATAACTGCCTGCCCTGTAGGATTGTGTGGTATACCCATAATATGCTTTATATTATAATAATCAAAAAAAATGTTTATTTTCTTAGAGACATATGCTGGAGCATTGTCTGTCTTTGTTTGTACAGGTATACCCATGATGGCCATGACTTCTAAGAAATGTGTAATTACTGAATCAGCCTTTTTTGAACTCAAAGCAGTTGTCCATTGAAAACCTGAATAGTTATCAATGGTGTGGTGTACATATTTTAATTTTTCAAATTCTACAAAAATGGAACACATCCATCTGTCAAATTTTATTCCTTTGAGTACCCTTTGGGTTACTTCCTGCAGGTAGTGGAGTTTGGTTGTATAAAGAACAAGTAGGACCTTTTTTTAAATAATTTCCTTGGCTTGTTATCAAGTGATGGAAAAGTCTTTTTTTAAAACCTTTGCTATTGACATGGTGTTTTTTAATGAAATTTTGAGGCCTTTAGCACATTTCCTATCAACAGTTGATCAATTTCATTATTACCTTGTGCTATAGGGCCGGGTAGACCCGTATGGGATCGGATGTGTGTCTTATATGTCCCCGATTATGTGTTGTAACTGAATAAATAATAAAATCAATTTTGTATTATCTGGTATAAATTCAGTGATTTTAATATGTAAAACAACTCTTTCTGCATATTGTAAACCAGTAACTATGTTGAAAGTTCCTTTATGATCCATTAACAGCATGGGAATATCATGTACTTTTGGACAGAATTATAAGGACTTAGATCCACTTTACTTAAACTTTCTGATTTGTAACCTGCCTTTCCTGACTTATTTGCATCAGTGTAGAATGTAGGGGCTGCAGTTATTGGTGTTTCCCTTACAATTCGAGGAAGGATCCAGCTAGTTCTCTTTTTAAGTTTAATTCTCTTCTTTTTTGGATAGTTGTTGTTGACCTCTCCCAAAAAAAATTACTACAAGCTCTTTGCCAGGGTTCACTGTATACCCATAACTTGTCAATTTCATCATTAGTAAAAGTTGCTACAGTTTCCACTGGATCTATTCCTACTAACTGACAAAGTCTCAATTTCATTTTTTGTTTTTTTGTTTTTTTTTAGAATCGGAGAACTTTTCTACATAAGTTTTTAAATTTTTGCTTGGTTTATGTGGTAAAAAGACATTCCCTGTAAAACAGGTATAGTTATGCATAATTACAATCTGAATGAACATTAGGGAAGCAGTAATGGGAATTCCTAGGCTTACAGCTAGCCATTGTAGCCTAATTTGTGAGCTCTAGGCCTGTGGGAGGCTATTTCAAAGGAGTGGATGACATTCCTGAGAATGACACCAGAGGTTGTCCTCTGTTATCCACATTTATGCATACACACACGAGTGTACACACATGCATACACACTTTTTTTTTAGTTGATTCTTATTTACTGTTGGTCAGGGTGTAGTTTAATATAACTATTATAGATATCAGTTTGGAGATTCCTCGGAAATTAAAAATAGAACTCCTGGGCATATACTCTCACACCCTTTCAGAGATATTTGTACATGTGTGTTTATTGCTACTCTAATCACTTTAGCAGGGAAAGGGACCAGCTAGCTTAGTTGTCCTTCACCAAATGGCTGGGTAATGAAATGAAATGAAATAAAATAAAATAACAAAGTTTTCTGGAAAAAATGGGTGAAATGTATGATGTATAATATTAGCAACATCACACAATTCCAGAAAGAAAAACAACTGCAGACTTACTTTGTAAGTATGTAAAAAAAAAAATGTATGTGTGGGTATAGTATAGCATGCAGAAAGGAGGGTAAATGTATGTGTGGGTATGGTATGGCATGCAGAAAGGAGGGTAAATGTATGTGTGGGTATGGTATGGCATGCAGAAAGGAGGGTAAATGTATGTGTGGGTATGGTATGGCATGCAGAAAGGAGGGTAAATGTATGTGTGGGTATGGTATGGCATGCAGAAAGGAGGGTAAATGTATGTGTGGGTATGGTATGGCATGTAGAACAGAGGGTAAATATTAGGTGAT